AAAAAAAAAAAAAAAAAAAAAAAAAAAAAAATGAAATTCTGCCATTTGCTGCAACATGGATAAGCCTGGAGCAAATAAGTGAAACAAGCCAGGCACAGAAAGAGAAATATCACATGTTGTCACCCAGATGTACAATCTAAAAAAGTTGATCTTGTCAAAATAAAGAATAGAATAGTGGTTACTAGAGATTAGTAAGGGGAGATGGAAGGGATGATGGGGGATGGGAAGAGGGCAGTCAATGGATACAAAATTGTAAAGTGATAGGAAGAATAAGATCTAATGTTCTATAGCGATATAGGGAGAATACAGCCAACAACTAATACTGTCTAACTTCATGTAGCTAGTTGAGAGGATGCTGAATGTCCCCAGCACAAAGAGGTGACAAATGTTTGAGGCGGACGTGCTAAACGCCCTGGTATAATCATTGCACACAGTATAAATGTACCCCAACATCATATTGTACTCCATAGATATATACAATTATCATGAGTTAATTAAGAAAAAATAAATTAAAAAGAGAAAAAAATTTCAGAGGCAGAAGTAAATTAGAGGTTACAGGTAATGGGTGAGGGCAGGGGAAGCAATAATGAGAAGTTATTGGTTGATGGGTACAGTGTTTATGTTTAGGATACAAAAAAGTTTTGGAGATAGAGATAATGTTTACACAGCATTGTGAATATAATTAATTCCACACAATTATATGTTTAAAAATACTTAAAATGGAAATCTTTATGTTATATATATTTTACCACAATAAAAAAATTCTCCCCTTAGAATTCTTGATTCTAGCCTATTTCAAGAGAAATCCAAAAGTGAAATAAGCCAAACGTAGAACGAAAAATACTGCATGATCTCACTTGTATGTGAAATCTAAAAATAAGTAAAATACTTGGAAACAGAGAGTAGAATATTGGTTACTGGAGTGGGGGAGGTGGAAGGAAATGGGGAGATGTAGGTCAAATGGTACAAACTTGAAGTTATGTTTAAAAGAATGAAAGAGAGAGAGAGAGAGAGACAAATCCAGTCATTAGTTAGGACTTTGCCTGAGGGTCTTGGATAGTCTGGCAACCACGGTGGTAAAGGTGTGTGCTCTTCCATTAGAGCCAAGTTTCTAGTGTGGGAAATGCTCACACTTGCCTGATCCAGGCTTGGTCATCTTGGACCGGTTTTCTTTCTTTCTATGACGCTACCCCAGTGAGCCAGCATGAGTCAGCTCTGGTTTACCCTACAGAAAGGTGGTGCTGGTGCTGGTGCTGGGTCAGGCACTCGGTGCGTCCGTGTGCCTGTTCTCCCATTGCCAGCTGTGTGAATTCTGCAAGTCAGTCATCTTCCCTGAGCCTCAGGTCTCAACATCCGGAAAATGGAAATAATTGTCCCTGCTCTGCTATTTTCACAGCTGTTTTTCTTTTCTTTTTTTTAATTTGAAGGCCCAACAAGGCAATAGACACGAAGGTGCTTTGTTTTGGGGACTGTGAAGTTCTAAGTCAGTGTAAGTGGTACGTTGCAGGTTGGTGTCTTCCTACTGAAGCGTGAAGTTTGAGGTAGAATCAGGATTCCTGAGTCCCATTCAAAAGCGTTTCCACTAGACTCAGGTGGTTCTCACTGGAACCGTTTTAGGATGGGGTAGATTTCCTCCTTATTCTGCCTGCTCGTCTTCTCCCACTGACCTTTTTCAATGTGCAGTCCCTGCATTGCTTTCCTTTCTTGCAATGTCCTTTTCTCTGATCTCTCACCAGTTTCTTTTCCTTGCTTCCCTTGCAATCTAGCTTAGATTCCAGGATCCCTTATTGCCAATATCCTGAATGTCTTACCCTCTGAACTTCTGTCACCTTCCTCTGGCTAAACCCCAACTCTGCCATTTCCCTGCTCCCCAGCCCACTCCCAGCTGAGTAACAGGGCAGGTGGCTGCCAGCATGAACCATGAGCACGACCTCCACATGGGTCTCAATCATGCCTGGCAGCCATTGTTAGCATGGTTCCTTGAGTAACGTCTGTCACTTGCAAACTCTGCGAGAAAAGAATCCTGTCTGTGTTTGTTTGCCGCAGTGGCCCTCGCACCTGTCACAGTGCATGGCCAAGAGAGGCTCAATGAAGGCTGATGAATAAGAAGACAGATCCTTCATCCTAGACTCAGCTTCTGACTTGGATCTCCTGCCCATCCCCGCATCAGAGCAGGACTCAGGCCAGACTCACCGCAGGGAGTCCAGGTGGCAGTGAGGGCGTCTCAGGGTCTCACAAAGGTTCTGCAGTGCTGAGCAGCTCAGCATGTTTCCACTTAGGTCCAGCTCCTTCAGGCTTCCGGTGACCACAAGAATGGAGAAGAAAACTTGCCAACAGGCATCTGTGACTGGGACCCTGGTGGACCTGAGGGAGGAGAAGAGGGACAGGAGAGATGTGACCTGCATGTGTGGGGTCTGAGGTGCTCAGCCTTGCATGACACGGTGGAGCTCTGTCCCCCTGAGTGCCAGGCCACAATGGGCAGTGCCATCCCTAGAACTGACCACATTTCCCACCTGTCCCACTGGCCTGGACTAGGTGCCCCTCCTCCATGCAGCTCCTCCTTATCACATCGCACTGATGTGTTCATTTCATGTGTCTGTTTCTGTCTCGGTCTGGGAGCTCCTCAGAGGCAAGAGCAGATATTCATCTTTTTCATCTGCAGTGCCCAGCATAGGGCCTGGCACGGAGGAGGAACTCGGTAGTTTGGACAGCCTTCCTCCCTTTGACATACCTGTCTTTCTTTGGCACAGACATTCTAGAGTCCCAGTACGCAGAAAGGAAGGAGATGGGAGGTGGGAAAAGAGCCTGGGAGAAGGGTTTGAGGACGACTTTGTGATGGGATGTTGTATTTAATCATATACCAGCAGTCTGCTGTCCAGGTTGACTTGCATGAGGCCCCATCCCCTTCCAAGAGCGGCAAGACCACAGACAGGATCCTCAGGAGAGTGGTGGCAAAGGGGAATGTCCTAGGAGAGACTATTTGCAGCCTGAAGGGGATGATGGGCTTCATCTGAGAGTATTAATAGTAGACTCAGCCTCGTATAATTTCCACCCATTTAATTTCTCCATCTTCACACACTACTTTAGTGACATCTTCAACTTCCAGGGCTTTAGCTACTCAAGCTCTAATCCAAGTTTCAGACTGACATTTCTATTTTATGGCCAGATATCTCCACCTCAACACCCCCATGACTCTTCAACCTGATACATCCCAATGTGTCCCCAATCTCAATTGCTCTTTCCCCCCAAGTCTGCAGAGGTGAGGAGCAAGGTCTCTGGAGCCTGCACATGAGTTCCACCTCTCTGTGTCTCATTCAATCTCTTCAGCTGCAAAAAGTGGACACCATGGTACCTGCTGCAGAGAGTGTGTGGAGGATTAAAAATTATTACAGAGCATCCCCAAAGTCCTAGCACAGTTTTAAGCTTTCACAACTCCAAAAGCATCAATGCTGCAAACATATCACAAAAAGCCATTATTGGAAGGTTTAATTATTGGAATTTCTTTTACATTGATTTAATTTTGTGAACTTTGAATAATAAATCTTTAACTTTTTGTTTCAGTCAATGTTTGCCATCTTTCATCAGGGGGACTCAAAGAAAAAAATTAAAATTTATTATTCAAAATGCACGATGCTTAATTACAAGCCAAATACCTGGTGGCTGCCCACCCCGCTATCTTCATTTCCTTACTATTTCTGGCTGGCTCTCCTCTCCCTTCCCACAGCCTTTGGCCAATCTTCATTTCTTCCTGGCCAGTTTAGTTTGTTTATAGTAGCCTCTTTTCCATTCTCTCTGCCTTGCCTGATGCACTCAGGGCCTTACCTCCCTCCCCCCTTGCAGCCTGAGCTTCTGGCTTTCCCGTGGATTCTCTCCAGGCTCCACTGGCACTGTCCACTCCAAATGCTCTTGTGCTGGCCTGGTGTCCCTGGTTCCTCTTGCCCCCATCTGGCCTCTGCCAATGTGCCTGCTCAGGGCTCTTCTGAAGCCCCCATGTCAGGCTGCTGCCACTTGCATCACCTGTACCCAGGTCCTTCAAGGCCTGCTTCCTGCTTATATCTATGAACAACCACAGACAACCTGGAATGGCCAAGAATAGGGGAATGGTCAAGTCAGCCATGGCACTTCCGCTGTGGAATAGCACGTGGTCATTCACAGTGGTGTCGTACGTATCAGACGACTTCATGGCATGAGGAGATGGCCTTGATATATCAAGAAAACAAAGCTGATTGTACAATAAAATGTATAGTATGGTTCAATTTTGCCATAGAAATGTGCACAGAGAAAAGGTTAGAAGGATATACCTCAAATCCTAATCATGGTCATCTCTGAGCGATGGAATTCTGGTTATACTAATTTTCATTTTTGCTTGTCTACAAACCCTTATTTTTTTCTACAATAAACTTGTGTTTTATTGTGGGAAAAAGCTTTAAAAATCTTGAAGTAAAAGATTCAAATCAAATGTTTCTTCCTCTGAGAATCCTTCCTTCTCTGGTCCACTTCTGTGGTCACTCCCCTCTGCAGGCCACCATCGTACCTGCCCATGACTCTATTATTGCAGGAATCCCAGTCTACTGAAATTATTGGATGGATGTCCTGCCCCCATGTTTTGAGTTCCTTGGGGCAGGGATTGTACTTTTTAATCTGTGATCTGCAGGGCTTGGCATAAAATCAGTGCTTAATAAATATTTATAGGATGAACATCTAAAGTACCAGTACTATACGATCAATACTGCAACAGAGGCAGGGGAACCTGGACAGGGAAGTCCCAGTGTTGCTGAAGTTGGAGGACGATTAGAGAAAGATACTCTTTCACGCTGGGGGGGTGGGGGGAGGGTTCAGGTTGAGAGCCTGCGGCAATAGAGGCATCATGGACACAAATGAGGAAGTCAGTTTTGCAGGGAAGAATAGGGACCCCTTTCAGACACATGCATTCTGAGGTGATAGGGGAAGATCTCAAGGCCAATGTCACTGTCAACAGCCATCAAGGGCGTGCCTGGAGCAGCCAAGTGAGGAATTTCTTAGAGAGAAAGCATGACAAGAGAGAGGGAAGGAGCAGACACAGGTGAGCTGCCTGGCCCTTGGGGAGTGTGGGGGCAACTAAGGGGGGGGGGGGGGGAGGGTTCAGGTTGAGAGCCTGCGGCAATAGAGGCATCATGGACACAAATGAGGAAGTCAGTTTTGCAGGGAAGAATAGGGACCCCTTTCAGACACATGCATTCTGAGGTGATAGGGGAAGATCTCAAGGCCAATGTCACTGTCAACAGCCATCAAGGGCGTGCCTGGAGCAGCCAAGTGAGGAATTTCTTAGAGAGAAAGCATGACAAGAGAGAGGGAAGGAGCAGACACAGGTGAGCTGCCTGGCCCTTGGGGAGTGTGGGGGCAACTAAGGCCCATGTGGAGGTGGGAGTGCATCCAGGAGAGAATGTGGTGGTCATCACAGAGGCAGGGCAGAGGCTGCAGCACAAGGCAGGGCCATAGTGGGCCATTCCAGAAGCAAGCAGGGCCCTGCCAGGCACTGCAGAGCGCCTGGGTGGACAGAGAACGGCAGTCAGATTTAGCAGTTAGAAGCTGCTGGTGACCTGGATCCTTCAGGCCCCTCCCCCTGCTTCCCGACCAGCCCTAATGAGAGTGACCTTGGTGCTCAGGACATTCGGGCTCATGGGACTGACAGAGGAGCTGGAGAGTGGGGTACTCACAGAACGACACTGGGGAGCCTCCACACTTGTCTGTACTGTCCACCCTCATTCAGTTGGAGCCTCTTCACATGGTGGCAGAACTTAATGCAGAAAGTGGACACCAGGAGCTCCATGTCCGTTTGGATGCACATTCTTGTTCCTTGGAAATGGGCCATTGCCTGTGTCAGGAGCTCCTCATCCTGAGCCTCGTACAAACAGTGGAGCCACTGCAGAGAGGACAGCTGCAGGGAGGGCTGCTCAGCCTGGGCCTCGGCCTCGGCTTCTGCCCAGCGCAGCAGCTCCCACTTCCTCTCCCGGGACAGCCGGCAGCCGAAGATGCTCTCCATCTCACTCACCCCCTGATCACTTAAAAGGCCAAATAGGAAACGCACAGTCGGTGCCCCAAACAGGTCGTGCCTTCCGTATGCTTCTAGCAACTTTTCCACACCTCTGATGCTGCCAGGATGTTCGCTTCTCTCCTTATCCCCCAATGCACAGGACATTGCTGCAAAGAACTCCTGGAAGCACAGGTGGATGAAGCTGTAGCTCAGAGGGGTGGGGTGCTTCTGAAGAACACCCACCTTTGAGAAAGTGGAGATGATGGTTCCGTCTAACCTGTGCTTCCTGAGGTCACCTAGACTGAACAGGGTCTTTCCTCGGTAGATACCCTCAGCAGCCAGAGAGCAGAAGCCCCTCAGCGGGGTCCCCAGGGGCTGAACTGGGAGAATCTGGGAGAGGTAGCGCAGCCAGAGGGCCGTGGTGGTCTGGGGGGTCAGTGTGAGCTCTTCTCCCCGCTCCATCTGCTGCTTCAGGCAAGTGCAGACCAGCCAGGACACCAAAGGCGTGAGACACATGGCCAAGAGTGCTCGGTTTGATTCAACCAAGCTAAAGGCTCTAATTGCTTGGCTTTCATCCGTGAAATATTTGTAGAAATATTCCTTCCTTCCGGACTCAGAGAATCCCAGGACCTCCACCCAACGTGGTTGCTCCAAAGAAGGAATGAGCTTCTGCAGAGCTGCAGTCCGAGCTGTGATCAGCAAGGAAGCCTCGGGAAGTATGGTTTTCCCCAGCAAACCTCTCAGCAGTGTGTGCACTGGCTGCGGTTGGCTCCAGCACAGACTGAGCTCAGAACTCTGCTCTTCCAAGACCCATTTTGGTTCATCCAACCCATCGAGGATGAAGAGCAGCTTCTCTGGCCGAGACAGGATCTGTTCAACAGGAGCTGGAGGAGCAGCCCAGTCTTTTGTGATGAGCTCAGTGAGACTCACCGCCTTGGACTGGGCCAGCTCTCTGCAGCTGAAGTAAAAGACATGCTGGAAGCGGTCCCTGTACAGCTGGCTCTCCTCCCAGGCTCCCCTCACCTGCCTGGCCAGTGTTGATTTCCCAGTTCCAGCAGTCCCCTCCAGTATGACTATGCGAGGTTCTTCCTGGGTGTACTGGTCTGGGCCAAATAAATCTCTGACCTCAATCAAATGTCCTTGCTCTTCCACCGCATCATGATGGAGGTGACTTCTAGGGTGAGGTCTTTGTAGAAGTAGCACCTGTGTGAATTTTTGGTGCAAATCCTCATTTTTCCAGGACTGAGTGGGACAGGGCTTCTCTCTCCTCTGTTTCTGGTATCTTTCTCTGATTCCTAAGTAAGGGAGGGAAAGATGGAACATAGAGGTGTAAAGTAGATTCATTCACTCATTCATTCATTCAACAACTGTTTTAGGCACATGGTCCAAGCCACACTCTGCGCTGGCTGCATACCGTGGTATGTTCTCACCAGTGCAGCGGAGGGAACGTGGACTTTGGGGTATGAGATCCTAGCTCAAGTCTTGACTTGGCCAAGTCATACTTCCTGTGGGACTTTCCTTCATTCTTCAAATATTTATCAAGGGCTTCCTATGTGCCAAATGCTGCTCTAGGGGCTGGGGATAAAGAGTGAATAGAACAGACACAGCTCTCTGTCCTCATTAAGCCCATGTCTTGGGCCATTAGCCCTATGAGCCTGTATTCTCACCTGTAAGTTAGAGATAGTGACATCTCCTTGTAGGAAGTCACAGGGGAATGGAGGAGAGGGTGGCTGGTGTTGCAGATGCTGTTGGGTCCTGACACACTCCCTCAGCACCCACCATTGCCATACCTGCCAGCCAGTGTCCCTCTGCAAGCACCCGTGATTGCCTGCCTGAGGGCTCATGGCCCACAAGTGGGGCAGGCCAGCAGGAGCCCTCACTGGTGACGGATGGGGGTCCCTTGCTCCAGACAGACAACTCCAGGCGTGTTCTCCACTGTCTCCCACACATCCCCAGCAGCATCGAACCTTAGTTGCTTAGAGGGGTAACCTGCTCCATCACGCATCTTTCCTGGGCTTCCCCTTCCCTGCCCCACTTGTCCTCTCTCCTACCAGAGCTTCCAGGGAATCACCTCCCTGATAAACTACCTGCAGGAAATCCTTTCTCAGGGTCTGCTTCTGACGGAGCCCAACCTGAGACAGTTGGGAAGGTGCCTTTTGAACTGTGAGGAGCTGAGCTCACATAAAGGACTGTCCCCGGGGGGGGACCTCAGTCTCCTGTCAGTGAGATTCCAAATAGAAGGACCCTTGCAGCCCCTTCCCTGCTCTCCCTTCACAGTATTCTTAGTGCCTCTCATTTCTCTCCTTAGGCGAATTGTAGATTTGCTTTCGTTGTCTCCTGTGGGAAGATTTCTGGCAATGTGAAAATCTGAGAGCATAGGATGGCCACCTGAGGTCACAGCCATGGCCCGCCCACTCAGGCCATGTCTGCTTCAGGTGCCCCGAGAGGACTTAGCTCTCTTGATGCCACATTTACCAAAACCTCCTAGTTTTCATGGATTTCTTACTGTGTGACATATCTAATCCTCTTGAATTGAGTCATACTTTAGAAATCCTCCCTCTACCCTTGATACCTCTAATGAGTTTCATTTTTAATATTATGTCGCTGATCAGGGGTTGGCAAACTCTGGCCAAATCCACAAAAACAGGTGGCTGGCTGGATTTGGCCGGAGTTTGCCAGCCCCAGCCAGCCACCTGTTTTTGTACAACCTGCAAGCTATGAATGGTTGTTACATTTTTAAAATGGTTGGAAAAAATCAAAAGAAGGATCATATTGCATAACATGAAAATTATACAAAGTACAAAATTTAGTGTCCGTAAATACAATATCAAGGGCACCCAGCCAGTGCATTTGTTCATGTCCTGTCTGTGGCTGCTTTCAGGTTACGAGGGCAGAGATGAGCAGTTCCAACTTAGACCCTATGGCCCACAAAGCCTAAAATATTTACTCTCTTGTTCCTTGCACAAACAAATTTTTCTACCTTTGCTCTTACTATATATCAAAAAGCATACCACGTGATTTTTGTGCTTGCTACGAAACTGTTGTTGGAGACCTTAAGTTCCCCACTTGAAAAATTCTGTTAGAATTCAGAATCGGGGGAAAGTGTGTTTCTCTTGAATCGGTCTTTTCTCCTGTATTGAGTAATTGATATTACGTCATCATCATATTTCCCCTTTTGCCTGGTTGCTAGGATGCTCAGAACCAATGGAATCTTTAATTATAGCAACTATTTAGTCTTCATGGCTTTCATATTTTTTTCATTTTTAAGGTTGCATTCTAGAGAGGTTATTGCATTTGTATGTTTCTGTAAGTTGCTTTTAATCCTTCCTTCCGCCTCTGCCCCCTTCCTTCCTGCTTTTCTATTTTGAATGGGAAGGGATGAGACTAATTAAGTCAATTGATATACTTTGAGTCTGGGTCACATTTTAGGACCATTAATTTTACCAGTTTACTCCTGGCTGGGTGCAGAAGGAATCCTTTTAACTCGACATCTCTCAGACTTGTCCTAGCATTGAGAGGTAGTATAGTTCAGGGTTAAGACTGTGACATCAGGAGCCTGTGTGCATGTGGCTTCTGTGTGACTGTCCTCACTGCTCAGGTGGCAAAGGGAGTAGGATGTAGGGGTTAAAGGTGTGGATTGTGCATCAGAGAGTGCAGAGGCTGAATTGCACCTCTGCCACTACTAACCGTGAGACTTTATTTTTTTTATTTTTTGTCTTTTTTTGTGTCCGGCAACGGATCGCAACCCTCAGTGTCGCGCCTGTACCGGACTGGGACCGGCAACGGGATCGCAACCCTCGGTGCTGCGCCCGCACCTCGCTCAGCCAGTGAGCGGGAACCGGTCTGTATGTGGGATCCGAACCCTCAGCGGGAGTGCCGCCGCACTCCCAAGCGGCGCACTGTAGCAGTGTGCCACCGGGCCAGCCCGAGACTTTATCTTTCTGTGCCTCAGTTTTCTCATTCTCCCTCCAAGGTGGGATAATAACAATATGGCATTCACAGAGTGGTTGTGGAACTTAGGCAGAATGTGCATGTGAAGCACCGGGCCCTGGGCCTGACACAGAATGAGTGTCCTGCAAACACAGGCATGTGACTTACTCTAGGCAACTCGGGGGTGAGGAGCTCAGTGGAGACTGAATCCAGTTCTCCTGACCCCAGGCCAATGCCCTGCCCACTAAACCAGGTGACGTATTTCCATGGTAGGTAACACATCTTCATTTAAATTTTCAGGGGCCTCTTGGAAACTGTGACTTGGTCCAATGGAGAGACTCCAATGATGGGATTTTCGGAGAGATGTCCGTGTGCAGCCTGCCCACCTGGCCCCCAGAGGACTCTGCCCATGCCTTTGCCTCACCCACCCATCTCCAGATGCTCAGCAGGGCCTCACCTGTGCTGCAACTTTCAGATGTTTCAGGAAGAGGTGACCCAGTCCTAGGAGCCTCCTGCTTCCTGGGCTCTGGTCTGGGCTGAGGTGATGGTGCCCAGATCCTCAGCACTGCTGTGGATGTGGGGGTGTTGGGTGACTCCTGGCTTGGAGACTTGTGGTCCGGGGATCTTGGAAGAGCTCCAAAGATCAGGAAAGGGTTTTCTAGGGAGAATGACAGGGAAGAAATAACCATTTGCTGAACAACCATTTTATTTCAGGTGCATACATTTTAAACTCTCATGACAGTCCTGTGAGATGGATGTTATCTTATTCTTAAAACCATGTAAAGGTAGAGATACAATTTTTTGTGAAACCTCTTGGTTGGAGTACAGTGTGTATTAGGTAGAAAGACTTTGATACACACTTGGGGACTGAGCTCCCCATTTCAAGTAACAATAAGTAGTTACTATGTGGCATTCTGAGGAAGGTGGGGTCTCTTTACTGCCAGGCACTACTCTTTACTGCCAGGCAGTGAAACTTGGGCTGTACAAGTTAGGGGCAGAGCAGAATTGCTCTGTGTCATAGAGGAGAGAAGAGCCAGTGAGACTGGATACTGCGTGGGGGAAGGGCAGGAAAGAAAAGAATATTGGTGGATGCACAGGAGGAGATCCTTTGTGGGGAGAGAAGTGTGAGCAGTTTAACCCTCTCCTCCTACAATAGCTTCAGTAGAGTCTACATCAGGCACTTGGACTTTTATGCTAGTGGATTATTTGTGTGGAGCTTAAAGAGGTGCAAATTCTGTATTGTGGAGTGGGAAGTGGCACAAGGACTGGAAACTAAGTAGTATGAAGGCTCAGAAAAGGAAATGAGACACAGAGGAGTGGAGCAACTTGTTCTATGTCACACAGCAAATGCGTAAAGTCAGGGCAAAAACTGAGGGCAATAGAGCTTGAGCCTGTAACCAGCATTGCCAGGGCTTGGGAGCAGCAGGGGTGAGAGTGGGCACAGAAGGAAGTGAAAGAGAAAGGAGAATCAGGTGGAGACTTTCACAAAGCAGCAGCAGAGTGGAGGAGGAAATCACTGCTCCATTCCTCCAGCAAGGTGGAGGAGGAGGAATGGATTGTTCCTGGTCCCAGCTCTGGCACTGCCACTAAGTGCTAAGTGAGCTTGGACAAGTGAGCTGCCCTCTGTAGTCCTTCTGCACTTTGATGCTGAGATGGGAAGAGGAAGAGAAAAGGGTGTAGCTGAGGTTTGGTGCCTGGGTGAGTCAGATGGCAAGAGATCAAAATAAGAGAAGTCAGGTTAGGAAACTGGCTAGGGCTGAGGAATGAGCCTCGCCTCTTCTTGGAGCCCATCTGGAGAATATAATCCTCCTTGGAACTTCTGGACCATCCTGACCCCAAAGACCTTCAGAGCCCACCAAGATTATGAGTGGAGCTCTGCTTGGGCAAGGGCCATGTCACACATGGCACCCAGTTGGGTAAGACTCACTGCCTGACCCACATGGGTCTCAGTTTCCCCATCTGTCAAATGGGAAGGGGTGCAGTCTCAGCACTGGTAGCTCCCTGAAAGATCATGTCTGGGCCTACTGCTCTCATCACCCCATCCTGGCCCCTCCATCCTTCCTCTGCTGTCCCCCTCCCCAAGTCCCCATGCAGGCACATGCTCACCCTGGCTGACTCACAGCTCCATCCAGGGCTCTCAGCCTGACTCAACGAGCCTCACCTCTCCAGTTGAGTCCAGATGACGTGGCAGGAAGCTGTCTAAAACTCCTTCTCTTCTCTGAGTCCTGGGGGCACTTCAGGGACTCAGGGTCCAGGAACTGCAGCACCGCAGTGGAGGTGGGCCAGCTGGGGGACTCCAAGTTGGGTGCACTTGGGGAGTAAGGGAATGAGGGAGAGCGCACTATGGGAAAGAGATAAAGAGGTTGGGGCTCGTCAGAAAGGCAGGGGCAGGGTCCAGGGGACTGAAGCCAGGGCTCTTCATATGAAGCAGTTCTCCTGTCTCAACCAAGACAGAGGTCAGGAGAAACCAGTGAAACCACCATAGTCTGCCACGACCTCCTCCACGGGCTCGTCCCGAGAATGATGCTCTTACAGACACCACTGGGCAACAAGTCCTGATCTGCGATCCAGGAAATGTGCGTATCTGTCCCGGTTCTGACACTACCTCCCTGTGTAAGTCACTACTGCTCTCTGAGCCCAGCTCTCCGATGTGGGACTATAGATTCTGCCTCCAAGGACTGCTAATAGTAACAGTAACAGCAGCAGCAGCGGCACAAAGAGCTCTTATTTATCCAGCACTTTCTACACATTAGACTCTGTGCCAAATGTTTCACGTGGATTATCTCTTTTACCCCTCACACAGCCTAAGGAGGCAGGCTCTTACTCACTCATTTTGCAGATGGGGGAACATTTTGCTCAGCGTCATAGTGCCTGGACTAGGACCTGCCTCTGCCTGACTCCCCGGTCTGTGCTCATAACTACAATGCCAGGCCAGTGCCCCACTTTGGAGGGGCTTGAAACCCATGCCCCTCTTCCCTGTTCCCTTATGAACGTCAGTGCCTCCCCTCTGTGGCCCTCTGAGTGCTCCCTCCCAGGCCCTGTGAGGACCACCTTGGGTCCTCAGAAGGCACTTGAATAGAAGAGGGTGTGGGGTTCTAGGGTCCAGCAAGGACCCCCTAGTAAGCCTCTCAGCTCCAGCCTAGTCTGGGCCTGGATCCCCACTTTGACAGGCCAGTCCCAAGTCACTGCCCAGATGATGGACTGGAAGAGAGGGTTCAGTGGTGGCGGTGGGGTCCCAAGAGGGGAGAGGTGGGGGTCAGAGATGAGCGGGCAGAGGGGCCCTTTGTCCACTCACCTGACATCAAGTCCATCTCTGCCTGGGCCTGGGCACACAACACCTTCAGGCCCATCTGCTCCCAGGTGCGCAGGGCCAGGTCCCAGGCCTGCTGCTCCCCATACTGAGCCACCAGGCATGAGGCCACCTCCGTGCCACTGGTCTCTGGCTGAGCTGGTGTCGCATCTGAAGAGCCACCAAAGTGCGCTTTATTGGGCAGCCGGAGCTGGAACTCCTTCAGTTCCTCCTTCTTCAGCAGCTCCAGGTAACAGGCCAGCCGGCACTGGGTTCTGCCAGCCATCTCTGCCCTGGGGGGTCTTGGGGACCTTGCTGGTGCGTGGATGGTGAGAGGAGTTAGGCAGGCAGGGAACAGTGGTCTTCCTTTGCCTTGGTTTCTATTAATTTCGAATGCAAGACTCCCGCTGGGATCATTCCTTTTGGCCCGGTAAACTCCTACTCAGCATTCAGAATCCAGTTTTGTAAACCTCGGGGCATCTGCTGGTGTAGATGGTGTTGGGAGGAGGGACAGGAAGAGAAGAGGTGGGAAAAGCCGTAGGAAGGAGGAGCCCAGAGGGGACGGGGAGATGCTGGAGGAAGTCAGGTTCTGTGGGCTGCTGGGGTGGGGCCCAGGGCCAGGCAGGGAGGGGAACAGGGAGGGGGTTGGGAGGATGAGGGGATGGGGTGTGGACACTCACTATTCTGTGTTCCTCACATTCTTCCCCCTTCTGGGACTTGGATTCCTGGGACCAACCCTTGAGCTACCTGCTGATAGGAGGTGGGGTTGGGGGAGAGGCAAACAGGGTGGCTTGCAGAGCCCAGTATAGAGCTCAGGGCTGCCAATGCCTGGGTGGCTTCAGACCTGTCCTGACCCTGAGACACACCAGGGAGAACAGCCCCCAGTCGGCCAGACTAGGAAGAAAAGTCACCCAGAGGAAACCCATGGGGGAGGGGCGGGGCCAGGGGAGGGGAAAGTGGGGCCAGGACACATGGGCGACAGCAGAGATTCAGAGCCAGATAGCCAGACAGGCCACATCCACAGGCAGGCTGGGGGCATCTGCCCGGTCAGGCCGATGCTGCAGCAGGTGCAGACACATTCAACATATAGTGAGCACATCTTCGCACAGGCACCCTTCCAGCCTGTCACCCAGAGCCTGGCACAGAGTCATGGTGCAGCCTCTCCAGGCAGGTCGGGGGGCCCAGGCTCTCAGGATGTGTGCAGCCCCCTGTGTCTGCCAGGGCAGCTCCTTATACAGAGACATTAGAGCTGGGCCAGGGGGCACTTTTCTCAGTCTCTCACGAGCTCCACTGAATATTCCACCGCGCTGCGAGGGGCAGTGAAGTGTGTGTTCAAGCTCAGGGAGCTGTCTGCTTTGTGCCCTCAGCTAGTAAACATTTCCCCCCGAAAGCGGAACAGCCCTTGCCTCGTCCTGGCTAAGCCAGGCCCCGGGGGAGCAAGGCGCAGGCTTCCTTCCTCTTTTGTAAGAACAGCAGAGGTTGGGGACTCCAGGTTAAGGAATGACATTACCCATCTCATTTGCTGTTGTATAGCAACACCTGGAGTTTCTGGAGATGCCTTGGTTTGGCCAGGCTTGAAGAGCTTGAGCCCATGGCTTGCTGGGACTTCTTGTGTGGGTGGTTCATCTCCCTGTGCCTCAGTTTGCTCATCTATTAAATGGGACATCATAAGTTTGCCACACAAGGCTCCAATTCAGCAAAAGCTCTTAGTAACCTTTACTAATGTTATATAAATGTTAGTCTTTTCTAAATAGCCAGTAAGCACATCACAGGGCATTCTAACATCAGACAGCAGGAGTGGAAAGTGCTAAGCTACAAGGTGAGATGATCAGGGATTTGAACACTCCATGTGGTGAGAGAAAGGGCCTGGGAGAGGGGTATGTGGGTTTTTATTCCCTCCCAACACCAACCATTTGACACTAGCTGGTGTCCTACTATTCAAGTCTGACACTAACTGCCTGGAGTTAGCGTCAGACCCCAAAGGTTTAAGGACTCAGTCCCACAAGACTGCCCTCACTTCAGATGCCAGCTGCAAATGGGGTGCCCAGACCACCCACACTTCTGTCTGACTTGGTGACAAATTCACGGTTCGCACAGCTCCCCTCAGGTTTAATAATTTTCGAGAACAGCTCACAGGACTCACGAAAACAACTTACCTATTATTACTGGTTTATGATAGAGGATTCGACTTAGGAAGAGCCAAATGGAAGAAATGCACAGGGCAAGGTGTGGAGAGGAAGGGGGCGTGGGGCTTCCACACCATCTCTGTGTGCACCGCCCTCGCAGCACCTCCACATGTTCACCAGCCTGGAACCTCTCCAAACTCCACACAAACAGCACTGTCGGGGCTTTTATGGAGGTTTCATTTCACGGGCATGATTGATTAAATCACTGGCCATTGGTGATCAACTCCACCTTCAGCCCCTCTCCTCTGCCCAGAGGTTGGGGGTGGAAAGTCCCAGCCCTCTCATCCTGCTTTGGTCTTTCCTGTGACCAGCACCCATTCTGAACCTATCCAGGGGAGTCATCTTGTTGGCGTACAAAAGCTGCTCTTGTCACTAGGGAGATTCCAGGGGTTTTAGGAGCTGGGTACCAAGAACTGGGGATAAAGACCAAATATTTCTTATTTTATTATATCACAGAGGGGCTCCTAGAATTCTGGGTAATGTGAGAAACTCCAGGCCTGGGAGGCCAAGACCAGTCAGAGAGAGGCGGAGGGAGCAGAACAGTTGCAGAGAAATGAGCTCCCCCAGCACCCAGCAGAGCAGACTTCTCGGCTGCTCAGTCACCAGCCCCAGTTCTCTTGGGGTGTCTCTGACTGTGGGTGTGAGCATGTGAGCTTTTGTGCTCCTAAACTATCTGACCTAATGTTTGGGACTCCTGGACTAAACTAGTTTCAGCATGTCAAGAAGGCCAGCGGAAGGAGGCCTGTTCAGGTCACACAGCCGGTCAGTGGCCAAGCTGGGGTCTCTGGGCTTCCAGGCCAAGGATATTTTTTCTTCCAGTCCATTCTATTTAATTCTAGGTCAATAAGATTTGGAGAGAAGGGGTACGGAATTTGGAGTCAGAAGGTGCAGTTCTGAATGGAAGATGGCGTTCTAGGTCAATAAGATTTGGAGAGAAGGGGTACGGAATTTGGAGTCAGAAGGTGCAGTTCTGCTTTTAGCTGTTTTGCAGTCTTGGACAAGTCATTTAACTTGTTGGGCCTCAGTATCTACATCTGTAAAATGGGGTAATAATACCTACTTTAGAGGAAACCAAATAATGCATGTGAATGTGGTAAGCACAGTTGCTGGAGCACTTAGCGGCTGCTTAATACAAGTTGACTTACTCTTTTTTAAAAAAAATTTCACCTGCCGTAATCCTACTCATTCTTTTAGGGCCAGCCCAAATTGTTCAAGTGAGCGGGACCAAAGCCATGTTGGGACCTAAAACTGCCTGGGCTGCAGGGGTGGAGGGATTTTAAAAAGGACAGGTTTTTTTTCTCTCCACTCTTTCTTCCCAACCCCTGGTTTTCTTATCTTGCTTGCTAAATACAAAAACAAGGCTGAGAAGCTAACCCATACTTTACAAAGCTAACAGTTCTTTCTTTGAGACTTAGAATTTTGAGACGTGATCAAGTCCAAATGACTGGAAGCTGACCGTGGGCACCAGCCAAGTCAGCCAGAGCTCTGCAAAGTGAAACTACGCAAAAGACTGCAGAAGAGTTGTTCTGCTCTGGAACAAACCAGAATCTTGCAGGTTCTTGAGTTAACAGTGAAGATGAGAACAGGAACCAGAAGTCTTGGTGAGACTTTGTACCTGACTCATAGACACGGACCCCTCGTAGCTCCGTCTCCTGCTCTCCTGCTTGTCATTTTCCACGTTCCATTCCCTCAACCCCTCCATTAAAAACCCCTCAGTAAATGTAAGTCTTTGAGATCACTTTAGTCCGGCCAGTCTCCTTCAGGTTTACCAGAGAGACGGGTTAGCCTAGCATCTCTCCTCAAGTCACTGGTATTCCTGAATAAAAGCTGACTTCCATTTTTACCAACATTTGATTTTGAGCAGTGTTCTTTTGTCTGGGGACAGGTGGCCAGACCTGTGAATTTGATATCAATTTTGGGGAGCCTCAGCCAGGAGCTGAGTGTTTCCTGTGACAAAATGGCACCTCTCTTGGAAGCTTTTCCTGCTTTGATCTTTCATCCCACAGTTCATTAAGCATATCCTTGGATGCCTTGCAGTTCAGCCAGCTGTTTCTGGAGGCTGGGTAGCTCAATGGAAAATGCGGGGGCTTTGGGGCTGGTGGGTCTGGGTTCCTGTGCTGGCTCTGCCACTTACTGACTGTGATCCCAGGCAACACCTGCCTCTCTGTGTTTTGTCTTTAAAGTGAGGAAAGGACAGTCAGGTCCCAAAGTCCTTGTGAAAGTTGAATGAACAAATATGAATGTGCCTAGCTCAGGATCTGAGATGTAGCAGACGGTCCATAAACATTAGTTTCCTTCTTCTTTTAAAATCATGGGCTCCTTGAAGGCAGGTAGCTGCGTCTTGAATTTCTTGTATCTAGAAAAATAGCTCAATGCTTTGCACAGCCTTGGTTCAGATACTATTATTAATGAAGGAGTAATTTACTTTTAAAATTACTTTTAATTTTAATCTCACAAGTAATACATAAATACAGTTTCATTGTTAAATCTTCAAGCAATACAGACACGGCTTTTCCTACTTTCCCAGTCCCATCCCCCTCCACAGAGGTTGCTGCTGTTTCCAGCACATTGTGTGTCTTACACACACACACACACACACACACACACACATGCACACACATACACACACTTCAAACTACCCTTCAAGTTGACTGTGATCACATTCATGTTCTGCAGCTGAGGGGCTGCCCCCCACGCCCCTGCCAACGTGGAAGAGGAGAAATTTACTTTTGCCAATCTCTGTGGGGAAAGGAGCCTTCCTGTTGTTTTAGCCCAAATTTCCCTGACGAGGAGGGGGTAGAGCTGAAGGTGCAGTTTGATTGCACGTGGTGCACTAGAAGCTCCTGCACCCTGAGCTTCCTTCCCAGACCCCTCCTGTTCTCTAGCTGTGCTCACTTGCCTTGCGGCCTCATTCAGTCTCGTGAATTAAGTGCTCTCCATGGGCTGACAACTCCCACATTTATATCTCTGGCCCTATCATTCCTCCTAACTCCAGACTCTTTATCCAACAGCCTCCTCGACCTCTCCCCTCAGGCGTAACAGTCTTCTCCAACTGAACAGCCCCCATCTGAGCTCCCAATTCCATCACTTCCCTCCTGCC